GCTTTTACATGATAAAAATGTAATTAATAGATTTTAATGATTTGGACATGAAATAATAAATAATAATCACAATGGAAAAAATTATTTGATTATCTTTATTGTTATATATTTATTATTTAGCGTCATACAGAGAAGCTTTAAAAAAGCTAAATAAAATTTTGACTCAAGAGAAATATTGTTATACGACAGCAAACGAGTCAGAAGCGGAAAGAATAGCTGAAGAAATCTCCAATGCTGTACGGTCAAAAAAATATAATATTTCAGAAAAAACAAATATAGTTATGGCGGTACCAAGTTTGGACGAACCCATCTCAGATAATATTAATTTAATAGATGTGGACAACAATAACACAATCGAGTCTGTTCCGCAGCAAGCAAAAGAATTTCCTTTCGGTAAAATAAAATTTATTTATGTTATTTATAATTTGTTTATTTTAATTTATAATTAAAATTTGATAAATAATTATTTACTTTAACAGTTTATTATTTAGAAGATATAGCTCCTAATAATGAAATAGTAATTCAAAATGAAAAGAGAAAAAAGACTTCTAACCCAGGTAAGAAATTGTCATATTAACTCTTTTTCATTGCCAAGAGTTTAAAACTTATAACTAAAAATTTTTATTAATTTAAACAAATTATTTTACTTTTAACAGGAACTTCCTATATGAGGATCACAGATGACGAAGATTCCGATCCAGAAATTTTTCCACCGAAGAAAAAATTTTGTAAAACAAATATAAGAAAAGAACCAGGTAAAAAATTTATTTTCAAATGGACAATTTAGATTATAAAAGTTTTATACATATAATAAAAATTATTTACATTTTAACATAAATAATTATAAACGATCCTTTTCCAGATTACGAGCATATGGAAATCGATGATCCCTCCTACTCATCAAATGCTTCAACTTCCGCTGTCGTCCATCGACTAAGTCATACAAAAAACGGCAACAAAGGTATAAATAATAATTGACTACTGTTTATTTATAAATTTTGTTTACTGTTTTGTAAGTGAAATATAATTTAAAATAATTAAAAAATTTAATTATTATATATGATAGTAAATTTATTTTATTCGATGTACATAAATTTTAGATTCTTTTCCAACAAATGAAAAAAGATTACTTAATACTTCAACAAAAGAAGTAAACCTTGATCTGAAAACTAGTATGAAAATTGGTAAATATAATAAAAGAAAAATAATTCCATTAATCCACAATTTACAACTGAAAATATATTTTATAATTTGTTTAATTTTAAAATTATTTTTTCACAGATAAAATTTTAAGCACCGTAATAAAAAATGGTGCAAATATTGAGGATCTTAAAAAAGAAGCACGAAAGCAATCTGGACGGATTGCTTATTTAAGTGAAAATATGAATTGTTCAGTCCCGCAAATTTATGATTTTGCACAGGAAAATAATATTTCTGTGCCATTTCAAGAAGTGGAAAATTTTATGGAGTTCGATAATAAATTAAAAGAAGAAAATTTTCGAAGAAGTTTTGTGAGTACCTTACGAGCGTTAAAGTTTTAATTGATTTGACTATTGTTTATCTTTAAAAGTATATTATTTATTTCTAATTATTATAATTACTATATAATTATTTTAAAAAATTTAATTCTAGATATTATCATTACCAATTACCTACGATCCAGAAATGGATGTTCGAAAAAGTATAACAAATATTATGAAAAAATATCTGTCAAAGAAGGTTGCACTTCAGTTTGTGACTATGAAGCAAACTGAAAATAAAAAGATTTTTAAAGAAACGCAATTATACTCCTGCATTCTCGGTAATAATTAATGTTTATTTCAATTTTAAGGGCCTAAAGTTCTGAACGTTTAAGTTGACAAAATAATTATTTTGGTCTATATTTTTTTTTAAAATACTGCGGCAATGAAAAATAAATAAGTACAACAAACATTTAAAAATTATTAATGTATTTTTAAATATAGAAAGCAATAGTTTATAATTTTGAAGTTAAGAAAGTATGTAGTGAAAAAATGTTTCGTCCATTTAAACGTTCAGAACTTCAGGCAAATTACATAGAAGCTTTATTACAAAAAAACTATCGTAGCAAATGATATTAATGTCATTATTGTATTAAATAGTAAATCGAATTTGTATGCAGTAAGAATTTTTTTTCAGCTGCTGTCATTGTCTCACACAAAGACAAGAAAACTTCGGGGCCTTTGACAGAGAAGCATATATTGTCGGAATTAAGCTCAATTCTACCCAATGCCAAAGATTGGGAAGGTGGACGAACTTTTCGCACAAAAAAACAATAAAATTTAATTCTATTCATTGTAAAAAGTGCCATTAATTTGATTTTTTTTAAAACAGAAAAAATCAGATTTTTAGATCATTAGTAATTTTAATTAAAAAATCCATATTTATATCGAATTATTATTTATTTAATATATAACAATATTTATATTTTTAATAATTGAATTGAATTAATTTGATTTTTCGAATAATAAATTATTTGATATTTAATTTTTGTAAAATTATTTTTACCTAATTAATAGAAAAAGATTTTTAAGTTTTGAATGTAGCGCGTTTTTAATTTTTTTATGGTTGGCAATTTCTGAAATTTTTTTTTTCGAAATTTCCTGCCATTATTATATTGACAAATGAAAATCAAGATAGAATAGTATTGGTTATGTTAATTGTTTATAAACTGTCATTTACTGAGATAACCTTAAAATGTTCATTCTAACACTATGTGCGTATAATATTTAAATACAATTATGGTAACCTCATCAACTCATTTTCAACAAAATTACTCGTAAGGGCCGAGCGTCACACAAAAACCCAGGGCCCGACTAGTTTTGTCTATTTTCCTCACGAGAAGCCTATATGGCACAGGGCAATTTAACAAGGTCCCTACCAGAACCGAGTTTAAATTTCTACACGGGTCGTTTCCAATGTATTTTTTTGTGCTGAATACGATCCCGGGTGACTTGAACCTAATTTTTTTCAAAATTTAAATTTTTTTTATCTTGCGCATATGTGTCTTAAGAGTATGTGGTCAAAGGACGTTTTTTTGTGGTTTGAAACTTTCTCTGAAATAAAAAATGATTTCTGGTTAACTTTTTGGAGAAATGAGTTTGTTTGATACAACGAATCTCGCTGTTCTACTCATTTACTATAACTTAACACAAAAATAATAAAAATTGGCGCTGTTTACTGAAGCACTGACAAACTCGAGCAACGTCTGTGTATGTGCCGCCATGTTTGTTTTCATTTGCGTTTAAAAATGACATTTTTTAAACTTCATTTTTTAATAATTTAACGCAAAATAATGTATTTTTCGGAGAACAGCGAGATTCCTTGTACCCTAATCTATCACCCCTCAAAATTGTAGACAAAAATCATTTTTCATTTTAGAGTAAAATGTATACTACCAAAACACATTTTCCCATACTAGGTCACGTGGGAGGTTCCCACATACCTTTAAAGTGTAAGATATGAGCTTTAATTTAAGCTTATATAGAAGTCTCTATCACGTCAGGTTAAGGAGAAAAAATGCTGAAAACCCTCAAAAACACGGTTTTTAATAAAATATTAATTTTTTTAAATAAAATAATACATTTTTTTCTAATATTTCCGTTGAACAAATAGAAAATAAGAGTGCAGTCACATACCTGTTAAAAAGCGTGGCTCTATTGATTTTATCGACAAATGTTGATAATTAAACTGTAATAGATTGAAATTAATAAAAACATTAAATTTTTATAATTATTCAACAATAATCATATTAAAATGCATAAAACGAAAAAACTGCAGCAAATTACTTAAAAAATTGATTTATCGCACTTTTTTGTAACAATATAGACAAAAAACCCAATTTTATTTTATGACCATTTAAAAGTATGGACTTTCAACTATCTTTCCTGAAAATTTGAGTTAAATCGCGATAGGTGTTTTTAAGATGTGGATTTTTAAAGAAAAAGCAGTTTTTTTAATTTACTTCGTATGCGTTAAGAGACAGCTTAAAAATTCCAACATCAAACAATTGCAAAACTTTCTATCGAATAGTATATTAAAATATTTTTTTCGACAAAACCACGGTTCTTTCAGCAAAAATTGATTTTTCAAACTTGATTTTAAAAAAATTACATTTTTTCCTATAGTTACGATTACGGAATTTCTTTATGAGATAGGGACTTAAAATTCTGGTTTGTCAAGTATTTTTCATGGTGAAGTGTGTGTTCTTGGCTTAGAATCCCCCGTTATCTAATTGGGAAATTCTTTTTGTGCATTTCACAAAAGTTTCAGTGACATATATGCGAATTCTACAAATAACTTTTTGTGGAAAAAACACAAACTTCCATTTAAATTTGGTTAAAGTCAATCTGACATTTTAATAATTTAATTATTTATAACAACAAAAAACTTAAATAAAAAAGTTGTAAAAATTACAGGTTTAGTATTTTCTTTGTTGATTTATTTTTTTATCTTGGAACACTTTTAATTAGTAACATTTATCAAATTTTTTTGCACTTGTGTGAAATTACTAGACCCGCCTATGCTGTGTATTCAAACTAATTGGTATAAAACAACTTTGACAAATGTCAATATGCTATTTTATATAAGCACATGATACCTTAACAGATGTGAGAACCCACTCGCATGACTGAAACCCAAGTGTTACTCACTGTACATGAATTAATACAGCCATTACTTCCTGAATGCGATATGCGTGCGTTATGACAAGCATTGACTGACTCGTAGGTCAAGTGTGTATCGTGCGTCGCACGATTGTTATCTAGGTATACTTATCTTTTGTATAAAAATTATAATTATTGAAACAAAATGTATTTCAGTCTATCAAAACGTTAATATTTTTTGTTTTATTATTTCATAGATTAAAATTAAGTCTTAGAATTTAATACTAATGTATTAGAAGTTTTCGTTTTAAAAAAACGACGTGATATAAAATAAGTAGCATTTTTTATAAAATATTTTTATAATAAAAAATTATAAACCTCTCGTGCTTCGCTTTCTCTCGGGTATAACAGACCAGGAATAACATTTGGTAAAGGATCATCGACAGCAATATTGACTTCCTCTGAGTTGACGAAAGTTTCTGATTTTAATAGTCTTACATGTGAAGAAAGTATACTGATAACTGCTACAAGTAAAATTACCAACATTTCCTTTAATTTACCTGAAATATATATTATTATTACAAAAGAATAGTTTATCTTAAACATAAATTTATAGTTTTAACAAGATTTCCTATTGAAAATCCCTTTAGAAAATTTTGAATATTCAATTTAATAGCTACCCAGATAGCCAAGTGTAGATCGTTATTTACGAGTACGGAGTACTGGTATTATACTAGTTTCATACCAGTAGTACTAGTACTATACAAGTACGTCTTACTTCTGAAATAAGAAGCACAACATACTCGTACGATAAAAGTTTAATACTGGTACGTCGTACTGTCCCTATTGAAAAAATCGACGTCGTTTACGTAATAGAAAACAGCATAGAATTTGACGTAAGCAACGACATAGTAGTTTATGTCGAATAATGTTGCGTAAACATGGATGTAAACTACGTAGAAATTAACGTAGTTTTCAATATTGGAAATTGAGATAGTAAACGACACAGTTATTGATGTTACTTATCACATCGTTTACGACATAATTTTGTTTTATTCTATAACTGGCGGCATGATTTACGACTGGTTACGACATGGTTTACGGCATAGTTTACGACATTGTTTACATGTAGTTATAGTTTATAATATTACTGAAGATATAGATTACGTTGTCGTTTACGATATGTTTGACGACATCATTTACTTCATGTTTTACAACATGGTTTTCGGCATATTTTACATAATTTCTAAGGTGATATTTTAAAAACTTTTTGCATCATAATTGAATATACTATTTTGCATTCTTTTTAAAATTGGAAACAACAATAAAAACAACATAATACATTTATTTTGAATTATTTAAATTTATTATAATATTTAAATTAATTACACAGTAGTAAAATAGAAATGTTTAAGTATATTAAGTGTGATTAAATTTGCTATTTACATAAATTTGGTGTTTCAACATGACTTAAAGAACTACCTACAATATAATAATAATTAATGGAAAAATAGAAAAACGGAATACATTTAATGTAATTGTTATACCGATATCCAAACAACCAGATATCCTGAATCTCTGCGATTGTTATTATTTATAATTCCAAAATGTCATGCATATATGAGCCACTTGTTCCAATTTCAAGTAAAACTAATTTTAAAAGTAAAAATTATGTAAAGCAAACATTAAGATTGCATTTTATATCTATAATATTTACTATTTTATTAAATGGTAATTTTATCTCATAAATAAAAATTATTATTAAATAAATGTTGATATCTGATTTTTTTAACAAAACGTATCATCGAAGTTGATCAATAGAAATATTCATTAATAATTAAATATGATTCATCTTTTATAATAACCGATCTAAAAATGTTCCCGGTATTCAGCTACCATCGTAGTTCTCGGAAATATTTCAGACGAATCCTGAAAATATTAAGTATAATAAATTAACTATTAACTTTGAACTTTTTGACATTAGATTGAACTCGTCTGAAAGCAGAAAATAAAATTTTCTACTCAAAACGTAAAATCCAATCAACGAGATCATAATAATAGTGCAGATTAGGTACAGCGCATAAATATTCGAAGTTATTCACAACCATCTGAACACAAACTTTTGCAATGTCATTCGTTAATATTACCGATTCTTCATCTGATATGCGTACAATTCTTTTCAAAAAACTACAATCATTATTGTAAGTATTTGCTGCAGTAATATTTTGAACTATAGTATACTCGTTTAGACTTTTTTGACCTGGTATAAACGAGATCAATTTTACATATGAATTATTTTTTAATTCTGCATACGCCATATCAGATTTCTTATTATTTTTTATTGACCATACATACAAGCAGCCATTTTTTACGATTTTTTTTAAAGAAAACAGTATCTTCAGGCAAGTTTAATTTTTGTGACCAATATACACTTAACTTTTTTGAAAACCCAAAGTAGCGAATACTTTTAATCTGAAACGTTTTTTGAGCAGTTGTCGTACCAATTGTACTGCAATAGTCTTTTACAGCGCAGGAACTAAATGGAAGAACATGGTCTCTTAATGTTAAAAAACTATATTTTAAACTTATTCGTCTGCATATTTGTTGATGCACGCCTTTAGCTGCGGGAATTATCTTAAGCAAATCTCCAATTCCAGCTAAACAATGCATGGGGTCAACAACACAACCGTAAATAATATTGTAATGCGATAGACGCATTACTGCGAAGGACATTTGATACCGAAAATTGGGTTTTTTGACGAGGCAGATCTGATCATATATTTGATCGTGGTAAACGCATTTCTTTTTTTTGGAACTTTTGACATCAAAGGGAATTTAATACATCCGTACCTTGGATTTTTATTATTATATTGAACCCAAACTCCCGGGTGAAGGCAGTGGTTACAGCTAAAATTCCCATTAAATTGTGTAAATCCTTGTACAGGAGCGCGAGCAACGGAATCGACACAGGAAATCAATGTGAAGATTTTAATGCACATATTAATACCATTTATAATGCATTTAATTCCCTTTTTTGAAAGCTCATTCATAGTATCTACAAATGGTTCCAAGAATACACTCATATTTGGTTTTTCTTTGCCAAACCAAAGTCCAGCTAATATCAATTCCTTTGTCCTTACTTGAAATGGTAATTCATTTACTCTTAAAAAAATCGGCCAAATAGAATATTTCGAACTCTTGAATAAAGGTGCCCCATCAGTGTTAAATATACACGAAGCATAGTTCTGTTTATCTGCTTCGCTTAAACTTTGAACAAATTTTTTGTACATTTTACCATTGTAGATTGCGTGAAATTGGTTTTTTTCCTGAACTCTATTATTCATAATATAATTATAATAATCTCCATTTGTTTCAAGTAAGGAACGAATGTGAGTTTAAACATCTAACATCACAAAGAAGTCTATAAAATCATCACCTTTAACATTGGTTACTGTTTTACATAATTTACACTTTATAGAGCGATCACTTTTTTGAAATTTGAAATACCAATAATAAACCAGAAAGTAAATAACAAAAAAAGGTTATGTTGCCATTGATGCAGCTGCAATATCGAAAACCTGGTTTTCTACAGTATTATACATATAATACGTCATTTATGTATTATACGTAGAAAACCTCCAGAAAAGCACTTTTACCCATCTCTGCGGTAGTCTGGTGTTTAGACGTTTTTGGGAGCTTATTTCAGGAATTTTTGATTATAAAATATATATTATAAAAAATAATTTCAATTGTGTTTCTATATTTTATTTTAGATATGTTGACGACACACTTTTATGTGTCCATAAAGATCAAGTTGAACTTTTCATTAACACTTTTAATTCCTTTAATATTAATTTAAAATTCACTTATGAACTAGAAGTAAATAAAAAAATAAATTTCTTAGATATGACATTAATAAAAAACAATGACCAACTTATCACTAACTGGTACCAAAAATCCATTTCGTGTAATAGATTAATAAATTATTTTTCATGTCATCCAATACAACAAAAGAAGAATATTGTTTACAATTTATATGATAGGGCTATATTATTGTCTCATAAGTCCTTTCATAACGAAAATATTAAACGAATTTACAAAATTTTGCAGAACAATGATTATCCCTTAGAATTTATACAAAAAATATTAAAAACCGAAAACATTCATTAATTGAAAAAACAATAAATAAAAACAAACAAATAACGTCGTTAATATTTATCAACATCTACCCAAAGTCTGTATTCCTTTCAATAATATTTATTATCAACTATCTAATATTTTAAAAAAATATAATTTATTATCAATTCTTATTGTGGAAAAAAGCTTAAGTTCTGTAATAAAATTTGGTAAGGACTTGACGAGAAAGTTTGATAGGACTAATATTGTTTATACATTCAATTGTAATAACTGCTGAGCCACGTATATTGGTGAATTATCGAAACGTACTTTAAAAAAAAGAATTAGTGAACATAGAAATAAAAACCTCGACACCGTAGTGAATAAACATACAAATGAATATAATCATTCTTTTAATTTTGACGATGCAGAGCTTTTTAGCCCGTATTTGATATTTTTGTTTAAATTAATATTTATATGAGAAAAATTACAAAAATGTTCAGAAGTTGTCATTTTTCTCGCAATTTTTCAACTTTAACTGATGTTTTCATCGTTAATTTTAATTTAAACATTTTTTTACTTCTAGCGCTATTAAAGCGTATTAAATTCTGCATACAACGAGCCCTATTTGAATAGATTTTGTAAAAAATTAACTGTATTATTGTAGTTTTTCTCTTTACAGGTCTTGTACAACAAAAAACATTTAATATTAGTATACAAGAAAATGTACATGTTCTTCTACATATTCTTCTGCAGGTTCATGTACATGTACTCACACATGAAACCGTTCATGTCCTTGTACAATTTCATTTCAAAAAAAACTTTTTTTAAAAAAAATTTGAAATTTTATTAATTTAGAACCATTAAAACTTATGAATGCTAAGAATTATTGCACAGCTGTAAAGTTGTAAGAAAAAGCTACTGCGCAGTCTATAAGGTTTTTCATTTTTATTAAACGAAGACATAAATGAACATGTACAAGAAGATAATTAAAAAAAAATAAAATAATAAAAAATAAAAATTAGTAAAACCTTCATAACTTGGAGTATTTTTATCCAATCGTGTTTGTTTACAGTTCATTTGTAAAATTAATATTTGTTGAAAAAACTTATTGTTAGCATGACCAACATGAAATAAAAACTGTCAGAACTTAACAAATACTATACATAAACAATTAAGAATGAAAAAGAAAAGAAAACTATAATGTTCTTGAATCAGCTACTAGACCTGTAAAGGGAAAAACTACAATAATTCAGTTAATTTTTTACAAAATCTATTCAAATAGGGCTCGTTGGATGCAGAATTTAATAGCGCTAGAAGTGAAAAAATGTTTAAATTAAAATTAACGATGAAAACATCAGTTAAAGTTGAAAAATAGCGAGAAAAATGACAACTTCTAAACATTTTTGTAATTTTTCTCATATAAATATTAATTTAAACAAAAATATCAAATATGGGCTAAAAAGCTCTATTTCTCAGCTTCAAAATGAAAAAAAAATTTTGAAATCGGTGCAGAAATAAGAAAGATACAAAGGTTTTTATGCATAAACATACGTAAAAATGGTTTTCTGGCTCTAAAATGAAAATTTAGGGGTGTTTGGAGAATTTTATATACACCATTCTTCTTAGTTTTTTGTGACCTACAACCTCTAATAGGTTTCATAAGAAGTATATTTAAAAAAATTTTTTTGTAGCACCGTGTATTTAACTGCCATAGCAAAAAAAGGATAGCCATGGAAGCTAATTATTATTAGCTGTATAAGCTAACATTAATTTCTATCTATATAATAGCAATTGGAGGTAGCTAAGGAAACTTCATTTTAGCTAATATAGCTATCTATTTTTCTCCGTGTGATGCAAGTGATTTTCAAAAATCTTTCTTACCAATTGCTCCAATTTTTTTACAGCTTATTCTACGCAAGCATGGCTGTGGCCCGTACTAGAATAAAACATTTTTGTTAATTAATTAAAAATTGCGGACTTATAAGCAAAAAGATTTAAAAAATTGTCTCTTTCTTTATTGACAAAATGTTAAAAATAAAGAAAGTTATAATTAAAATTGCGTAATTCTAGTACGGGCCATAATGTATAGAATGTATAAAATAAGCTCCCTACTGTTAATTCCCACATGAGAACCTGTATAAGATCGGATATGGTTTCTTATATGAGATTCTATTCGAAATCTTACAAGGAGTTATACTATACTAGCGATTTTGGTAGGTCCATTTTCTTAACAAAAACGCTTAAAGTTATCCTAAAATAGTTCCGAAAATTCCCAAGCGTTAAAAGATCACGGTATTAACGTTATTAGTAGCAACTTTATGGCTCTATTTCATGAATGGCGAGTGAATATAGTTCCCCTTTCTGCCGTGCGAGATTCGTTCAAGGGACATACTAATATAGTGTCAACGTGGAGCGATATTTCAATTAGTCGTCTGTGTCCAGTGTAGACCTATAAATATTATACATATAATTAAAAATTGTTTATAAAGTAATAAATTTCTTACATCAAAAAAATATATATAAATTTAAATAATTACCTATTCTTTAAATTAAAAAATAACTAATAATAATAAAGCAGTATATTAAAAAACGCTAAAATTCTAAATTTTCAGAAAATATACACATAAAAAGAAGAATGTAATTTTTTTGGAAAGGAAAATATTTTTATTGAAAAATTATATGTATTTATTTTACTGCAACATTGATAGTTAATTAATATATTTCATTATTTATATATTAGAAATTTTTCTTTAGCTTTTTAGTTTTATTTTTGAATGTGAAAAACAACATTTAGGTTCAAATGTTTTGCTTAAAATTTACCGCGTAGAGATTAGGATTGTTGATTGATTTCAATTATTATTGTATATTATTATTTTTATATATAAATTTATAATTTCATATTGATATTTACTTTATTGTAGCTAAAGTACATATACTGTAAACATATACTGTAAAAAAATATTGTAAATTTACAAGGTCATGTATTCTTCTAACCTTAAAACAGTAAATTCGCTTACTATACAGCTTGTAAGTTACTCGCTCAACGTTGATGCGATATTCGTTTGTGCCTTGAACGAATCTCGCACTGCAGAGAGGGGAACTATATTCACTCGTCATTCGTGAAATAGAGCCATAAAGTTGTTACGAATATAGAAGAATCAACGACACTTTATGCCTCGAGAACAACTCGAACTATTTTAGTATGCCCAAGAGTAGTTTTGGTATAAATTTTATGCTATTAACGCCGCAGCAGTTCTTTTACTAAATTAGTAAGTTGTTTTCGTACAAAAACAGGAAGAAATTTCTCTCCGTGTACGTATTTTTGCGAGTATATTAAACCAAAATTACAACGAATCCGATTGGAATTGAATTGAATATAGTTATATTCTAAAAACTCGAAATATCGGAAAGAAACGTGTCCCTCCCTTAACTTTTACAGTTTTGGAGCTAAAAGGTTCAAACTCGGTATACATACGTATTTTCGTGAGTAGATTAAAGGAAAATTATAGCGAACCCGATTGGATTTGAATTTAATATAGTTATATTCCAAAAACTCGACATTTCTGAAAACAGCGTGTTCCCCCCATCTTAACTTTTCTAATTTTGAAGTTAAGAAGCTGAAAGTTGATACACATATTTTATTTTGTTACATTAAATATAAATAACAAGATCTAGTATAAAAGTAATCGATTATAATTTTTTCAACACTACATAATGAGAATAAAACTAGGTATGTAAAAAGATTTGATTTAATGATTTTTAATACTAAAAAAAATCGGAGGTTGAGAAAATGCGAGTGTTGCGGAATGCGTGTGAGTGCTATGAAATTCGAGTCGCGAAAATAATCTTATTATTTGAATTAAAAACTAGGGGTAATAATAAAAGTGGAGTGCATTGGTTAGGGAAAAATCCAGAAGTGGATGGAGTGGAAAACAAAACTTGGAAGTGGACTTTTTAGCGAGGAAAGTGGATAAAATAAAAAAATCGGACAAGTGCGAGTTACACTCGCACTGAAATCGAGGGTTCCGTACTCGAAGCGAACTTATTTGGTATAAAAACAAATGTTTAAAAAATATGTGTTGTATGACATCTAATATAAGTGATACAAAAAGGAACAATTTTCTTGAATTTTACAAAATTGTTCCTTTTTGTATCACTTATATTAGTTGTCATACAACACATATTTTTTAAACATTTGTTTTTATACCAAATAAGTTCGCTTCGAGTACGGAACCCTCGATTTCAGTGCGAGTGTAACTCGCACTTGTCCGATTTTATTTTTAAAAAATATTTTACTAAAAAAATATAAGAAACATAATTTTATTTCAACTCGCAATATTTTTATTGTATTTACATTTTAAAAATATATTGAATATTAAATTTTATCTTTCTAAGTCAAAAAGAGATAAAACTTAAGATATTGATATAAGGCTAGTAGCTGCTTGTCAAGGAAAAATCGAAAGTTATCTAAAAAATAAAATTTGTTTATTAATTCCTGAAAAATCAACTCCAATCATCCTCGCTATATTTTTTTTGTAATCTACACGTAAAAATACGTCAAAATATATAAATTTGAATCACTGTAGAAAAACTTTTTTCGTTTTTTGCGGAAAAATACATTTTTTTCTGAAATTTATCATTTTTCTTCAAAAATTTGATAAAAATTGATCATCAACTCCAATCGCGCTTACATTTTTTCCCTGTATTTTTCACGCAAAAATTGAGTTTTACAGCAAGTATGAACAGTCTGGATTGAATATTGTGTGCGCTAGGGAGAATAAATAATTTTTTTCGAAATTTTTGATTTTTCCTTGACAACGCTATGTAAATTATTCCGAATCAAGTTCGCTATAATTTTCCTGTAATTTTCACGTAAAAATACGTAAGTGTGTCAAATTTGAGCTCTTTATGTCAAAAGATGTGGCCGCTAGGGGGGGGGGTACATACTCATTTTTAGGTATTTTTCGTAAAAATTCATGGTTTTTCCTTGACAACGCTATGATAATCAACTCCAATCATGCTCGCTATATTTTTTTTGTAATCTACACGTAAAAATACGTTAAAATATATAAATTTAATTTCCTTTAAATAAAATTTTGTTCGTTTTTGGTGGAAAAATACATTTTTTTCCTAAAATTGTCATTTTTTCTTGAAAAACTTGATAAAAAGTTAATCATCAACTCTATTCGTGACCGCTTTTTTTCCCCTGTATTTTTCCCGTAAAAATACATTTGTATACTAAATATGATCTGTCTGGGTTGAATATTGTGTGCGCTAGGGAGAATAAATTATTTTTTTCGAAATTTTTGATTTTTCCTTGACAACGCTATGTAAATTGATCAGAATCAAGTTCGCTATAATTTTCCTGTAATTTTCACGTAAAAATACGTAAGTGTGTCAAATTTGAGCTCTTTATGTCAAAAGATGTGGCCGCTAGGGGGGGGGGTACATAGTCATTTTTAGGCATTTTTCGTAAAAATTCATGGTTTTTCCTTGACAACGCTATGTTAATCAATTCCAATCAAGTTCGCTATAATTTTCCTGTAATCTACACGCGAAAATACATATGTGTACTAATTTTCAGCCCTCTAGATAAATTTATGTGGCCGCTAGGGGGGGGGGTACACGATTTAAAAAAAAACCGATATTAATAGGGTTCCGAACCGAGTACGGAACCCTAAAAAGACGCGTAAATTTGAGGTAAGGGTCAATTCATATATATAGATATATCGTTCGACGTGATAATTCGGCTATGAGTGAAGACAGTGGACAACAGATGTCACCACCGAGACAAGAGAGCGGAACGGATCAGCTGTCAGATGACAACAATAACAAAGGGAATGATAAACAAAGTGTGGAGGTTATAAAGAAAAAAGTGCGTAGGCGAAGAAAAGATGAAAAGGAAAAACAAAAAAAAGTGCGCAAAAAATGTTAGAATTCCTGGGGGGTAATCCAGATGACTCAAATTGGGAGAATTTGGGGACTGAAGCGTTTAAGAAAACTAATAAAGTGATATACTCACCACGGGAGGAACAAAATAATAATGATGTTAAAGGAGTCGAGAAGATTCAGGACAAAGTGTAGGCATCGAGAAACGCAGAAATTGACGAGGGAAATGGGAGGGAATTAACAGAAACACAAATGAATGAAAGTACAGAAAAAAGTGAAAGAGTGGTCCAACAAAAGGAGTGTATGTGTGAAGAAAAACTTAGGGAAATAATGGAAGGGTTATGTGTAAACGAAATACAACCAAAATAACTGAAATGAGTGAAAACATTAAAAACCTTCGAGCCGCAAAAGAAAATGAAGAAGAAAGGGAATTACGAAATGTAGCAGCACTTACGGCAGTATCCAGAGCGAGAAAAAGAGAAATTGGTTGTGCGATTGAATTGAAACAACTTACAAAAAAAATCGCTGATTTAGAAAAGAAAATACAAGAGTCGAAAAAGGAATATGAAGAATTTAATTTTGATCATTACAACAGAAATCGGGAACTACAGGACGAAAATCGACCGATAAATAGGACAGACGAACAGGACGAAGAAATCTCTAGGATTCATTCTCAAGAAGAAAATGCAAGATTGGACGACCAGTCAACGATCAGACAACCGGAAGTGTTAAATAAAAACGAGATTAGATGGGAAATGGAGGAAAGACAGAGAAGAAAAAACTCAATAGTAGTAAGAGGTTTCAGATCAAGAGGAAAAGGTGTCAGAAGAGAAATTGTGGAAACGCTTTTTGATTTCACGGGAGTGGAAATTGGGATAAAAAATATGAAACAAATAGCAGGAGGGGCACTGATCAAATTAGACTCGTGGTTTACAAAAAGAAATTTAATGCGAAACAAATTCAAGCTGAGAGGCACGGCAATTAGGATTGAAGATGACTTTACAAACAGAGAAAAAATGTGCAATCCTGGATCGAAGAGCAAGTAAA